GGCACATAGTAAACATCAGAAATGAATTGGTGACTTCCATCGTTTAGGCGGATTAGAACGTTACCTTTACCATTCACCACGACTTTAGACTCATCTCCAAAGGTAACATTACCTTGAGTTTGTTCCACCTTCATGAACATGCTCTTATCTCCCGTCATGTGGTTGCTAGCTCCGTATCTAATACCACGTGCTCTTCTTTGTTTGTTCTTCATGATTTGCCATCAACAAGGTAAGTTCTGCCTCATTATTCATCTCCATGAGATGGGCCTCTTCTTTCACATGATGAGAGCGCTTGCATTCATATGCATAGTGGCCATATTTATTGCAATTATGACACTTTGGTTGAGACTTGTCGTACCTTTGTGGTTTGCTTCTTCTCCCACAGCCTCTAGATGCTTGCGTATATTGAATTCTTTCTTCATTGTTGAAGTTTTTATAACCATGACCTCGACCACCTCTTCCACGTGCACCACGTCCTCGATCATAACCATGACCTCGTTGGCCTCTTTCTTCACCTCTATTCTCCCCTCTTTCTTTAAAAGAGAGTTTGAAGTAAAGAGAATGCTCCAATGATTCATCAAATTTATTTCTCACAACTCTTTCTTCATGTACTTGTAGTGAGCCCATAAGTTGATGAATGGTCATGGACTCTAAATCCTTAGACTCTTCTATGGCCACCACAATATAATCATAGTCTCTGGTGAGAGAGCGAAGAATTTTCTCAATCACCGTTATGTCTTTTAGTTCCTCACCATTCCTCTTCATCTCATTTACAATTCCCAACACTCTAGACAAATAGTCGGATATTGATTCCGAATATTTCATTTTGAGTTGTTCGAATTCGCCCCTAAGAGTTTGAAGACGAATTCTCTTCACCTTGTCGACTCCCTTGAAAGAATTATGTAGTATCTCCCATGCTTCTTTAGAAGTGGTGACATTTGCAACCTTCTCGAACATGGCCTCGTCTAAGCATTGATATATGAGAGTGATAGCTTGTTGATCCTTCCTCCTACTCTTTTGGAGACTATCCCTTTGGGATTGATTTAAAGTAGCATCATGTTGAGGTTTCTCATAACCTTTCTCAACAATCTCCCATGCATCTTGAGATCCTAGCAAGGCTTTCATGCGAATGCACCAACTGGAGAGTAGTTATCTTTAGTGAGACGAGAAAATTGGAATGGAACTAAGCCGTTGGCATTCATTTTTCTTGAAAGGATTGGTGGCTTTGATACCACTTTGTTGGAAGAAAGTAGTTTACGGGTATTATAATTGGGTGGTTGTGTGTGGAAGAGAGAATTTTAGAGAGAGATGATTTTGGGAGAACTTGAAACTTTTATTAATTTGGAGCTTTTGGCTTATGTTACAAATGAGTGAGGAGTGCTCTATTTATAGGTCTCATAGGATCTTTCTAGGCACTCCTACTTCCTTAACCTTCTACAATATTCTATAGGATTCTAGCTTGAGAACATTCTAGAACTATTTAGGTACATTAACTAAAGAGTACTCTAGACCTTTCTTTACTAAGTCCAACTTATGGGCTAACTAATTTATTATTTCTCATACAACTACTAGCCCAATAAGTTTACTTCTAATGGACCCAATTATTGGGCTAAGCCATGTTTAATTTCTAACAGTGTGATCCCACTAATTATATGAGTTGAATTTTTTATCTACAATGTGCTTGTCATATTTTAAATTTGTGTCCAAAACGGATTAACGGCTTTGAGTAGTGTAATGGGGAATACTAAAAATGGGATTAGACTGATTTGTGGTAGTAGCCCTACTAAAAATGGGAAAGCGTATTTGAAATTTTTATGTGTTAAATATCGTGAATTTTCAAAAGATTTATTTTATGGAATTGTACCTATAAATTAATTCATGTGATTATTAGATTTAAAAATGAGTTGTCTACTTTTGTGAATGATGAATGTTGTCATATTATTGAACCTTGAAAAATAGATACTATACCAAAAAATCTAATGTGTTAGTTTTTTATCGCAATGCTATAGATTCTTCTTCTCATGTCTATCAACCAACTTCTAACATATTTGTTGTTGTAAATGTTAATCATGATGTGGCATTTAAATAATTTGAAACTTCCAAATTTATTCATTATTTTATTATTTTTGTGATTATATTTCTCTCATTCCCCCTATTTATGTTATTGCTTTTATAATTGACCCTCTTATTTCCTATGTATAAGGATAACTATATAGAAGTTCTAGCACTATTTAATGAGAATAATAATTTATTTTGTAATTTATTTAATGAAATTCATGAAAGAAATCTCTTCTTCATCTCGAGGGAAAAGTCTTTTTAGAAGCACCATTAAAACTCTCTTGAAAAATTAAATCAACTTCTTTTGATGCACTAAACTCGACTAACGAGATGTCATTATATCGAAGATTTCATTGTGAATATAAAGAAGGTGAAAAGTTTGATATATTAGCTCAGTAGAAGGACAAAGAATCAATGTTTCTCATATTATCAACTATGGTGAAATATGTTTTATTCGCGCTAGTTTCACCAGTTACGGTGGAACAAGAGTTCAATAGCGTCGACAATGCCCTTACCGACTATAAGACAAAATTGAATGCTCAATGCCCTCAATCCATTGAATAACTTGTGTGCTTACATGATTGGCTAAAGGTTAGACATTGTATCCAAGAACGAAATATCGCACCAACACGCCATTTTATGTAGGAAACGACAACAAATGTGGGAGATCGGACCAGAATCGGAATGGCAGAACTAGTATAAAGTGGGCTGGTCCGGAGTCCCTATATTTTTTTCCCGATATCTGGCCGGTCTCGGACCGGAACCAAGACCAAATGGGTCCACCCCTACTCCTAATTATGGATTGAATTAAGGGTTTGGGCAGTCTTCTAAAAGTTTCAGTAGTAATAATGCATTATCAGCAAATAAATTAAAAATTGAAATCTATGGATTGAACTGTTGAATTAAGGGCCTGGGCGGTCTTCTAACAGTTTTTGTATTAATAATGCATTATCAGCAAACTAGGTAGTTAACTCGCTACTCGGTAGTAACTCGGTCAAGGGCCGAGTAGTGAGTAGGGTTGGTTACTCGGGATTACTCAGTCATTACTCGATCCTGTATAATTAAATTTAATAATACAGTTTCCTAAGATTATAGAAATATAAAAGTCTTAAAATAGTCTTAAAATTGTCTTAAAAAGCATAGAAATGAATAAAAAATAGAAATCCTATTATCCTAATGATGGAGTAGCAAAAGTCATAAACATTCTAAGTTTTAAAAATTTAAATTTTATTATACTGGATTTAAATTTTATAAGTGATCGCAATTTAATGTCTATTGATGAAATTGAATTTATAGGGAGTGGGAGGGCATTAATCCAACATAGAGCAGGATGTCTACTGGACTACTTACATTATCCTAAAGTATTTATCAGTTTAGTTCAAGAAGTCATGCATTGAATACTATAAAGCAGGATGTCTACTAGATAGTCTAGACTATTTATCCGAGAATGAAAGCTTAGCGCATTCAAGAACCAAAACTATCCAAGAAGGCAAGAACATACACGACTAAGAGGGGGTAGGGTTGGACCAAACCGGGTCGGTCCGGCCCTGAACCGGCCCGGTTACGGATAGGGCGGTGCGGGCTTTGACCCGGCCCGGGGGAGGCTAGCGGTTCGGGCACGGTTCACAAAATTGAAGGCCCGACCGGTTCGGGCCAACGGCTATTTTTTTAATTTTTTTTTCTTTTGGCTATCCAAACAGGCCCTTAGAGTCGTTGTGATTGAACCCAAACGGCTATATAGCCGTTGGGAGCCTTCTTGGGGTCCAGGGGTGGGTTAGGGGGGGATGGGGGTGGGGGGTAGGGGTACAAAAAAACTATAAATACTCCATTTTTTCTATACAATCTACTACACGTCTTCTCCAAATATTCCTACTCTCTAATCTCTATTCTCTACTAATCTTCTCCATCTTCATCTTCTCAAATTTATAACTATATATATTATATTATATTTACATATATAATCATCTCTAATTTATTTACTTATATTTACATTTTAGATATACTTAATATATACTTATATATATTAAAGTATTATATATAAGTGTATTACTAATCTTATAGTAATATACATATATTATATATACTATAAACATAATATTATATATTACTAGTTAATCTACTTATTATCTACTTATAAATATATATATATATATATATATATATATATATATATATATATATATATATATTAAGTATATCTACTTATACACTTATTATCTAATTGTTACATTTATTAATTTCCTATCATAGTAGTTAATTGTTACATTTATTAATCTCTTATCATAGTAGTTAGTTGTTAATTCGAAATTAATTATTTAATTGTTAAATTAGTTAGTTTGTTACATTTATTAATCTCTTATCATAATAGTTCATTGTTACATTTATTAATCTCCTATAAAAACTAGTTAATTCGAAATTAATTGTTTAATTCTTAAACTAGTTAATTGTTGCATTTATTTATCTCCTATAAAAACTAGTTAATTGTTAGTTTGTTACATTTATTAATCTCTTATCATAGTAGTTAATTGTTACATTATTAATCTCCTATAAAAACTAGTTAATTGGTAAACTAGTTAATTCGAAATTAATTGTTTAATTCTTAAACTAGTTAATTGTTGCATTTATTAATCTCCTATAAAAACTAGTTAATTGTTAGTTTGTTACATTTATTAATCTCTTATCATAGTAGTTAATTGTTACATTTATTAATCTCCTATAAAAACTAGTTAATTGGTAAACTAGTTAATTCGAAATTAATTGTTTAATTCTTAAACTAGTTAATTGTTGCATTTATTAATCTCCTATAAAAACTAGTTAATTGGTAAACTAGTTAATTCGAAATTAATTGTTTATTTTTTAAACTAGTTAATTGTTACATTTAATTCGAAATTAATTGCTAAATTGTTATTCGAATTTAATATTTGTTATATTTTTAATATGGAGCGTGGTAGAGCTTCTGTAGATATGGGTAACCTCCGCCGCAACCGAACAAAGGAGATTGCAAGGAATGTTCCAAGGTCACGCAAGGGTAAGGGAGGGCCGGGGTCTTCATCTCAAACCCGAGATGATTTTGATGCGGATTACAACCAAAGATATGGGGATGCGATGTCCGATGAGCAACTAGAACAACTTTTGCAACAAAATCAAGGACGTTTTTTTCATCAACAAGACATCCCGCAAACCATTGACGAAGAAGAGCTTGAGGATGATGATGCGGAGGAGAGGGATCCACGAACGGTCGAGGACGAGGATCATGGCACACCGGATGATGAGGAAGAGGAAGCGGAAGTGGCTACTTCTTCCCAAGCCGGTGGGAAATCTGACTCTGTCTTTAAGGCAAATTTTACAAAAGTTAAAGACCTCGAAACCGAGATATGGTACGCCACTTGCAAGCATTGCAACAAAAAGTATAACTTGGGAATTTCTGGAGGGTACGGGAGTGCCACAAGGCATCTTAAGGCCAAGCACCCGGCGGAATATGTGAAATCGGACAAAGGCAAGGGAAGGCAAACCCAAATTTCAAGGTTTGCAACTGGCCAACCCTTTGGTAATTTCTCCTATGATGATCAAAGACATTTGACTGGTATGTCTCATTTAATTGTTGAAGAAAATTTGTCTTTTATTTTTTCTGAAAGTCTTGCTTTAAAAGAATATGCTCAAAGTTCTTTAAATCCCCAATTTCGAAACTATAGTCGCAAAACAATTAAAAAAGAAGTTATAAGGCAATATGTTTTGGAAAAGCAAAAATTACAAACGTTTTTTGCAAACTTTGATGGACGTGTTAGTATATGTAGTGATATATGGGAGGATACTCATCATCATTTATATTATTTGGGTTTGACTGCACATTATATTGATGATGATTGGTGTGTGCATAAACGTGTTTTTGCTTTTCGTGAATTTAATGATAGACACACCGGTGATAATATTTATATTCTCATTGAGCGTATTTTAATTGAGTATAATTTGATTAATAAGGTGTTTGCAATTGGTTTTGATAATGCTACTAATAATAGTGCTGCTATTCCTAGATTGCGTGAATTGTGTGGTTCATCTTCTTTGATGGGTAGGTTTTTTCATCAACGTTGTGCATGTCATATTTTAAATTTATGTGTAAAGGACGGCCTAGCGGCGTTGGGAGATGCTATGGAGGTGGTGAAGGGGGGAATTAAACTTATTTGGGCTAGTTCTCAACTTAAGATGCAATGGAGAATTTTTTTGAAAGAAAGACGTGTCAAATATTGTGTTTTTCCTAAAGATTTGTCTGTTCATTGGAATAGTACTTATAACTTAATTAAGGTGCTTATTAGATTTAAAAACCATTTTCCTGCTTTTTTAAAAGAATATGCTAAGTATATTATAAAATCGGCCGACATCGACACTTGTGAAAAAGTTTTGAATGTTTTGGTGTATTTTAATAATGCAACTCTAACTTTTAGTCATGTTTATAAACCTACCGCAAACCAATTTTTTGTTGAAGCTGTTAATCTCGCCGGTGCTTTTTGTGAATTTGCTGATGCCGCTTACGTTAGTTATTTTTGTGACTTCATGAAACAAAAGTTTTTGAAATATTATTCCTATATTCCGCATATATATAGTATTGCATTCTTATTCCTATTATTCCTACTATTATGCTTCTTTTTTTGGGCCATTGCCTATGTACGACGCCAAGGCTATAGACCCGAAACAACAATTTCAAGAGGTTAGTAATTTATTATATCAATTATTTAATGAATTTCATGCACAATATGGTAACGCACCCCCTCCCCCGCCACGAACATCTTCTTCATCTAAAGGAAAATCAATTTTGAAATCTGCATTTGGCAATCTTATGAAAAAAAGTAAATCGACTCCGGTTAATGAACAAAGCTCGATCAATGAGCTTTCTTGAGAAGAGATGGCTAAGCAAGTATTAGCAATGCCCGTATCAACAGTTGCTGTGGAACAAGAGTTTAGTGCAGCCGGCAACATCCTAACGGATTATAGGACGAGATTGAGCGCAAAATCTCTTGAGACGCTTGTTTGCTTCCACGATTGGTTGAAGGCCAAACGTAGAACTCAAGAAATTAGCATTGAACCCACCCGCCACTTTATGGAAGAAACAAATGAAGATGGCGGAAATTCTGATTGATTCTTATTTATTAAAAAGTGTATTTCATGTTGTAATTTTTGCTCAATTTCCAATTGTACTACATATTTCAAATTAATACAGCTTAAATTTTTATGTCCAACTAATCTGAATTAAAAAAAATAGCCCGAGCCCGGCCCGGCCCGAACCGGCCCACAACTCGGCCGGGTAGGCCCGATCCGGACCGGATCCGGTATCACCCTGGGCCGGTTCCGAGCCCATCATTCAACAAAAAAAGCCCGCCCGGGCCCGGCCCGGAACCGGAACCGGACTGGCCCGGGTCCATCCATAAGAGGGGGGAGAAGAAGAAGAAACAGGAGGTGAAGAGGGGAAGATACGAGAGAAAGAAGAGTTACTAGGCTCCAAGCCTCTAAGGGACGGCCGATGTTGCAGTCGCAGCTTGAAGGGATAGCGGATGTCGCGCAGCTCCAAGAGAGCCGATGTTGCAGTCGCAACTTGGAACTCTGTTAAATTTAGGTTTTAATTTAGGATTTCTAACCGTAGTGCTTCAATTTTAAAAAGACCGAGTAATACCGAGTAACTCGCCGATTTGAGATGTTGACCGAGTTGCAAAACTCGCCGAATACTTGGCGAGTAACTCGGAAAATTAAGACGAACTGTGTTATGTTGCTCATCGGCAAGGTAAGGGCTCGAGTGCCGAGTACGGCGAGTACTTGGCGAGTAGATAACCCAATCAGCAAATAAATTAAAATGGGAATTGTGAAGATTTAATTATTTAAACGTCAACCTCATAGAGCAATCGATTCTGGTACAACTAATACAAAATATACATTACAAGAAATCCCCTATTTGAGATCTGTAGGTGCTGAAGCAAATAATTCTTGCCAACATTACTCTCACAAGTTGCCTTATTCAATAGAATGCAGAATATTAATAAAACCCATCTCACATCTTCACATTCAGAATGCAGAATGAGTATTACTGGTGAAGTTTATTCAGGAAGAACGAGGGTGAAGGATAAATTAAATAAATATGATTATGTCTGTAGAAAGCTGGCATACTTTGCACCTAAGAAGAGCCGTTGGATGCATAGCAAAGCATTTTTGGTGACCTCTGCATTCTCATGGTTCAAAAGCTTCATTGCACGTTCCTTGGCTTTGAGGTCAGTCACGATTACCCTCCCGGCAGGATGGCACTGAATGAATTGTGACAAATCATAACAAGCAACTGCAAGTGTTCTTGGATCACCCGACGTGTCCAGTATCGTGATAAGGACCCTCAGGATCTGCAGTCCAATTTGGGGGCATTAGTCTTTTGTTGTGCTATTCAACATTATTTTATTTTTATTTTGTTTTGTTTTTAACAGTATATAATAATGTTGTTCACCATAATATCACAAGCATGCCATACATATGTTCCTCTTCACCTATAACTATTTTACTTTATCCGAGTGTTTTGTCAATTTAGCCCCCAGGCCCCCCACTATTGTTTCGACTACACTTTTAGCTCGTCTTAGAACTTTTTCCATTTTAGTATTTCAACATTGTGACACTTTTTGGTGCTCCCATCTTTAAAATTTACAACTTCCCGGTGAAAGCGATGCTTTGCGGCAAAATTCAAAGGCGATCTCAAACACTAAAAAAGAACCACTTTTCATTTAGAATTTGATTTTAATTTTAATGAAACAGAATAAGAATCAATGCCAAAATCCCCTACGGTCTGAATGTTCTTGATCTGGCGGGGCTTATTCTGAATCATTCAAGTCTGGTCTGGTTTGTATGTTTATGATCTTGTCTGGTTTTTTGGCTAAATTACATGTGATCTCGTTTGGTATGATTAATCTTTTTGGTCTAATATAGACTAGTTAATTACATAAGAAGTAAAAAATAAGGTTAAGAGAACAACACCACACTCATGTTCCATGATCAAAGGCTAAAGGGTCAAATAGGTCCCTGTACTCATATCAATAGCTCAATTGGGTACCCGAACTAAAAAAAGGTCCAATCCAATCCTCCAACTCTTCAAAATCGTTCAATTTTTTCGTTTAGCCGGTAAACTCCCGGTACTCAATTGAGCTATTGATATGAGTACAGGGACCTATTTGACCCTTTAGCCTTTGAAAAAACGAAAAAATTGAGCGATTTTGAAGAGTTGGAGGATTGGATTGGACCTTTTTTTAGTTCGGGTACCCAATTGAGCTATTGATATGAGTACAGGGACCTATTTGACCCTTTAGCCCATGATCAAATGAACCATACCCAAGTTCATTTTATAACATTAATTTGGGTTAATTTCATGGAAACTATCTAATCATAATGATTTTCTCATTCAAACATTGGACTTCTTTCTGTACAACTTGACCCACTCTAGTTTTTGCAAGTACCAATTTCCATCAAACCATTGCAGTTGTCCGATCCAATCCCTTTACATTTATTGTGTGCGATATGCTTCTTTGAACCAAATAATCATGTATTCATAGCTCTAATTTAAATGAAGGTAAAGGTGAACTGCTAATGGGTTTATGTCTAAGTGTATGCCCTAAACGGATGTGAATAAGCTGAGGAATGAACATTATCAGTACCCTAATTCTAATTCCAGAATGAATTTGGACAAAAAAGTTATGAATAGGCTTGAACAAAAAAGTTATGAATAGGCTTGAACAAAAAAGTTAACATTAATGTGCACACACTATGTGGAACATGAACATATTTTGTTATGCAATTGATGAGATAAAGATGGAGGTCGAAAATTGAAAAGAAATTATGGGATACAACTCCCCTAGTCGAAGGGGGTCCCATAAAATTAACCCTATTAACTTTGCAAAGAGACATGACTACGAAAAAATTTCATTTCATTGCTTTCTTATTATGATGAAAGTTTTTCCGTTTTTCATTATTATTTACGGAGTATTATTTGAAAGGTTTGCAGCATTAAAGACATCAGGCTTGAACATCATCGTGATTTTTTACATTAACTTAGTGTTAAGTAATAGAGTTATTTATTGAGACTACAGACTAAGCTGGGGGTGATGATGATGATGATGAAAATAGACATCTCAAGACAACTTTTCACGGAGAAAAATATGAGGACATTTCTACAATGCAAAGTTGATTATGTGATACCTGGAAATCATTCTCTTCAAAATTTGTTATGTTATCCCTCCAGAATGACGGATCTTTATGCATAGGAGACCAATCTAGATGACCAAGAAGGACCTCCTGCTTGTACTTGTCAAATGAACTCAATTTTTTTATCTTATCCTTCAGCCCTTCTTCTAGCTGGTTAAGAACCTCCAAAAGATCCTAAAAAAATGGGAACGAAGTTTTAACTCTCCGGAAAAGCAGAATGTAGAATTCCTCAATCCATTTTGCGTTTACTTCAATCCAGTTACAGTTTTAATCCATAACAAGATAAAATTCAAGAGCCACTGAGCCCCATTTTCCCACCTCATCACTCCAAGCTTGTGCTTTCAAGCTCTGAACAACATGAAGTACTCCCAGGTCCACCATAAGTGCACCAAATGCCCCCTTGTAAAGCAAATTCCTCAGAGTCAAGACAACAACTCTGACAACCTACAAGTTGATACACCACATGTAATTCATTAATATGTGTGTATACACACATACACAAACATAATTCCAATGCAGCTTACTATCATAGGTGAAAAACTAATATTAGTTATTGATAAAATGGAGAGTACTAAGGCAAAACCGTGGTGTAGCATATAAGAGTTTAGTTCTACTACATTGAAGTGACAAATAGTGCATCGTTGGATACACAAGAGTGCACTTTTATACATGACAACAGTGCATCATTGTCTGAAACTAAATGTGCATGACAGAAAATGTAGAGGTAGTTTCACAAGTACACCGAAGTTCTATCTTATGTATACAAGTACAAAGATGAGTGTTGTATCATTAACCATTGCACATTAAAATTAAATGTATGCATCACCTCCCTTGTAAGCATCGAAGTGATGAAGTGATGAGTTCATACGGCATCAGAATCACCACAAACGAAGGAAAGGCAGCAATCACCAAACCACACAGACTAATCACACAAATCTTAAAGACAATTGACAAATGAGAATTATGAGAATTTGAAAATCTTTGGAGATTGAGCAACTATTAATATATTGCATTTTCCTTACATTTTGGATTGCATTATTTCCTTTCTTGGTTGCCTTCTTTATTCAACTTCCCTATCTTAGTAAAGCCTATTTATAGCCAGTTGAATAATGAAGTAGTATGCAAAAAATTGGAGCCAGAAAAGTTTAGGGGAACTTGCAGAGTTCTCAATTAAAACTCCTACTTCTATTACTATAAAAAATTGCATGATTCTAGAATTTAGTTCTTCCCAGTATTCTCTCAAAGAGCCTGAAATCTCAGTTTTCCCTCCCACTTGCCCGATTTCTTCTCATTTTCCCATAGAAATATAGTTTACAATTAAAAGTAATCGTATATAGACACATGGAGATAGGAACGTCTGTTTGCGTGTATGACTTGTACAGATTGGGAAAACATGAACTTAACAGAGCCAAAAATGAAGAATGAGTAGGTAGAGTAGCAACAAAGCACAAATTATGAGTGCATCAGAGTATGTTAGAAACTGAGAAAAACAAATATGGAGTTTGAGCATAAACATGTCGTATATGGAAGTTCATTGAAGAAGGCCCATATCGAACTATATGGCTGACCTTTTCCTTGGTAGAACTTTTAACAACTTCTATTAACCGTGGAAGGGCCCTCGAAGTCGCCAAGTACTCTATTGCGGGTTCATAGTATGACAAAAGCCAAAGGCATAGACATGTTTCATAGAGGAGCTGTTACAAGGAAGAGAAGAAGTCAGACACGTGACCAATTTGAAGAGCAGAAGTATGACGTAGCAAAAGAAAATCAGTTATCAGAATTAATAGGTTGCGTGTAGCAGAATGCATTCCCGAAAACGAGTCCAATTTCAAATGAAGCTACTTTTCCTTCAACTTCCAAAAATAGACCCAGACAAGTTACATGCTTACAAGTGTTACTAATTAAAAGAAAAATAGCATGATTAATGAAAATTGTACCATATAAAAACTAAAAGGTTGTACCCATATTAAACACGACTCTATTTGAGGAGGTAGTATATGAGCATGTCTGACAATTCCCAGCATGTACGTGACATTTGTAGCATAAGGCATATTTAATACAAAGC